TTTACGCCACGGATGCATGGTACAATGGTAAGGCTCGAATCTGCCTTTGCTTTAACTCCTAACCTTAAACCCTGAGGTCCTGCATTGTTTCGGAAGGTTTGAGACAAAAGTAGATACATTTGAGAGATGAAAGTATTTCTTGGGCAACAATAATCACCATAAAAATGCAATGCTCAGAGAGGGTCGCATCTGTCGCGCAACATTCGGCTCAACGTAGGGTCAAGGTAGACAGCACTGTTGTGTTACTCTACAATTACACTGCTCATAATGTCAGACAGAGAAAAACAATGTGTGGGGGCCCCCGCAAAATCACTGAAGTTGAATACACAATTATGAGGAATCACCGTAACCACAAGTGAGTGCGGTCTGTCTGAACCGCCGGGTGATTGTGATGGCCTGTCTGTTCTTCTCCTCAATTCATCGAGCGCCGTCTGACTGCTCTGTTTACCATAACCTTGCAATCAGCCCACCTGACAGTGTACCATTACCCATGGTAACAAGTCTGGCGTAATTTCAGGCACAGAGTAGGCCACGCCGGAGACCGGGCTGATGGTGTATTGATGGTGTGCGGCTCTGTTATCTTTCCCCTTAATTTGTTTTCAAGAACTGTGATTTACATTTCAGTTGGATTAAACCTTTTAATGTATCGCCAGCATGAAGAGAGCCTCTCTGAACATCGCCTCTCCCCCTCCATCTTCCGTCCAGATTTCAAACGGCACATTTTCAGCCCTCAAGTGGAGAGGATTACAATTACAATTAAAAATCAAAAGCCCAAGTGTCCACCTAACGACTGCCCATCACCCTTTGTGCAGCTCTAAACAGCGTGCGGCGGGAGAAGAGAGGCAGGCAGATGTACCTCCGCACTGGAGCATCAGTAGGTATTTCTGACACAGTTCATCTTGTTATTACGCAATGAGTGTTATTTTGGATGAAAGTAGGGGCAGCCAATGACATGCAAATGTAAGTCATTTGGCAGCAGGTAAAAGAACATTCAGACAGGCCTTTTAAAACCATGGTGCGCAGTTTAATACGGAGTTCAATTATCTGCCATGATGTTCTTCTGCGTTCTGTAGATCCAGCCTCTCATCGACGTTTGGAGATAAATTCAGAATGTTACTTGAGTCTTCAACTTTTGCTTGGGTTTTTCGAAGTCATTATTTATAATAATAAAACAGTTATGTGTTTGTGGAGTTTACATTGTGATTTTTGCTAACTGTCAACCAGGTTACATAATGTTTTACATAATGTGTACATAATTTGTGCTCATTCGTGTCATTTTTTCCCCTTCCTACCTACAACCCTGAAACAACTTCTGTTATAGAAATGCACAGCAGAATGTCTTCACGCATTGTCTAAACAACCTGATGTGTAACAGAGATTTTGAAGGGAACAAATACAAAATTAAAGTTACTCCACAATTACACTGCCCCCTACTAGAAGGAAGAAAGAAAGAAAGAAATTATTTTATATATATATATATATATATATATATATATATATATATATATATATATATATATATATATATAT